TCTTTCTTTGACGTTGTCTTTTGTCTTTCTTTTGATATCTAGAACAGTATTAAACATATTATAAAAAAAAGTTCTTCTCAATATGCATAACATCAAGATTATCCTTAATCAGATTGCTTCTTCAATATGAGATATACTAAAAAACATTTTTTTGGCTAGTTATGTGTAACACCAAAATCTGGAAGAAGACTCGAGGCTAATTATAGTCTCTCAATGATCTTTGGTGCTTTTAAGATCTTTTATAATAAAACACTTTTGGTTATTCTTGGGGACATGCTTGATCTCTTAACTCTATTTTTGTAGAATGCATCTTTATTTCTCTAGAATGGGTGATCATGTGCTAAGAACAATTAATGAAATCAAACCAAGAATTTTTTTTTCCATGCTTCAAAGTGAATGCTTTGAACAAATCTATACAGTAGGGACATGTCAATTTCCCGGTTGTGCTCCAACCATATAGCACCCCATAAGCTAAGAAATAACTGATCGTCCACATAAGAGTAGCTCTAAGGTGAAAGTTCTATTTCATAACAATATCATAAGACAGCACCCCTGTTTCCCACAATAATTATTGCTCATCGATAAGAGGCTGTAAATATACATAAATTTTACCCTTTGGGAGATGTAGATCTGGTATGATCAATGCAAAAAAAAAAAAAACAACACAATCATACACATATTAGGGGCTAATTATATGACATGATAATAACTAGCCAACATGAATAGGGTGTTGCAGCGTGGTTATAAGTTGTGAATCTATCTACACATAATTCAAGCCTAACATTGTGTAGTTTAGCTGTAAAGTCAAGATAAAAATGATTAAATTGTTTCCAAGCTTCACCGACTGAAAAATAAGTCATTATTTTAGCACTGATAGATCTGGTACCGTGTCATGTCATGTGAGGAGCTATGCACATAAAAGCGAACAATCTCTGAAGCCGTGAAATGAGGAAAAGTAAAAAAGATGTTGGTAAGGAATATTATTTTAATTTTTATTCTTTATCCCTCTTGGTTATCAACACTATAAAATATATATTTTATCTCCAACACATCTTTCTTGTAATATAACATGCAATCGTTAACACAACAATCTATCTTTTTAGATAGTAACTCTAACTTTAACACTAACTGTTTATTTTGTACAAATCTTCTGGAATTAAATTATCTGCAGGGTTCATTTCCTTTAATAAAGTTACTACTTGATCAACGCATTCTCTATGTAATTTGAAATCGCATCTCATACTTATTATTCTTAGGGCGACCTATAATTTCGTATATGAAGTGCATCATTCCCACAAAGTTTGTTGTGCAACATTTGATATACATAGAATTGTTGCACCTCACTGTTTGGTTCTTGATCTTCATCAAATACTCTCCCAACAAAACGAGTCATTTTGGCATCGATAATCATTTCTTCATAGACCCCATAATTATGAATTGTTAGAGGTTCATAACTTGATAAAGCTCCAGCATGACCATATTAAACATCTAGCTCAAAATCACTATGTGAAATCCAATACCAATAAACATGTTTAAATCCCCATACATTATATATCCAACTTCACTTCGTTAAGTGTCGGGTACTATTGATTCTTGCGCTTCGCACAGAAGCATCAAAATCTGCCTTCTGAAAGATAAACGGATAGTTGTGTTTCCACCTGCATTAATTCCTCAACACCAACCAAGAACATGTCAGTTAGTTCTTTTCTTTCTATATATAATCTATTATACATCAATGATATCATATTTTGAATATCCATCTGCAGCACAGATATAGTTCTATAGATCAGTATAATTAGATATTGCTCGTACAGATAATATGAATCCCATGTATTACATACATACAAATTTATTGGGATTTACATGAATATTTTTTCTTCATTAAATCCAATTGAGTGTCATATTTTTCATTCAATTCTTACAGATTGAGATCATTTTTTATACAACATGTCTTGGTCTTTTTAGGTCTTCCTCTTCCTTTCTTAATAAAAGTTATATCAATAACAATTGTTATCCTAATTAAGTTATTAAATGATTGATGTTTAATGTGACAAAACAAGATAGTCTTTATTTAATTTAGAAATATCATTTTATAATTTCTTTATTGTTGCTTTTGAATTTGTTGTCTCAAAGTGAGGGTGGTATAAATTATATGTTGACTTGACAACTCAATTTTTACTTGAAAAAATCCTAGAGATGAAAAAAATTATATGACTTAGCCTAGTTGAAATAATCTATCATGTAATTGTAAATAAACAGGCCTGCACTCCTCTTGAATTATAGAACATAGAATTAAAATGTTGGTAATCATTGATTTATGATAATGGATCAACATTAATAGTCTTAATTAAGCCACAACCAACATAGATCTTGGCGAAAATAGAAATAATGGGTTGTAATGGTTATTGCTTATAAGTATGAAGGTAGTAGCCCACCAAGAATGTTATAGGTAGTGGTTTGTAGCTTAAGGTTATCTAAAAGGCTGTAGCTGAATGTTTTGGCAGTATTTGGCTAACTAGGTTGTAGTTGGTTACTTCAGGAGTATCAGTTAGGCTTAGAGGCTGTAGTAGAGTGTTGTAGGAGCAGTGAGCCACATAAGTTGCATTTGGTCACATAGGTCATAGTGATGAGATGTAATAATGTCTGCAGACAATAGAGTTTGGAGTTAGGAGTTGCTTGAGCTATGAGTCACACAAGCCATAATAGTGAGCCACAATAATGTATGGTAGAGGCCGGAGTTGGGAGCTACATGAGTTATGAACCACATAGGTCGTAGTGGTGAGCTACTATAACGCCTGTAGGTTATAGAGCTTGGAGTTAGGAGCTTCATGGGTTCTGGACTATGTAGATCCTTGTTAGCATGTAAATCGTAGCAGTGAGACAAAATAATGTTTGTCAACCACAAAGGTCAAGGTTGGGAGCTGCATGAATTGTGAATCGTGTAAGTCATAATTTGTCACATAAGTCATAGAAATGAGTTGTAACAATATCTGTAAGCTATAGAGACTAAAGTTACGAGCTCCATGACTTGCGGGTCATGTAAGGCGTAGTTGGTCACATTGGTCAAAGTGGTAAGCTATAATAGAGTTGATTGACCTCAATGACCATAGTAGAGGGCGAGCATAAGTTGGGTATCAACGTAGGAGTGATGGGCTATAATTGCAACGATTGTTATAATAAATTTTGGGTGTATCGTTACACTGCAGTCTGTGTGTGTTATTATAGTGTTTAGGATGTTGTATTGCTCCGTTACTTTGTAATGTATATTATTACTTTGTAAAGTGCTTCATGGATGATGAGCAGGGGGTGGCCAATGGTGTTCATAGGCAATTAGTGGGCGGTCGACAACAATGGTCGACAACTAAGAAGATAAGAAATGTTCGTTGGGAATTCTAATCTAGAATGACTCGGATTCTTCTCCTTCTTTTTGCAATCCTGCTCTTAGTCTCGAGTCTCCTTGATGTCCCCTTTCATGAATGAAGTAGGGCTCTATTTATAGGTTATGGGAGTGGTATCTCTTGTAAAGAAGACAAGAATCCAGCCACTCCATAGGACAACCCAAACAGATTCTTTTCATCGGATGGTAGTTTGTGGACATTTGAGTGCCTTAATGATGTTAGAATTGAGTGATATTGGGCTTCTTGGATTCACCTCATCAAGACGCTCGATTCAACTTAAACTTGTCGAATTTGAAATCCATGTAAAATTTTAATTTCCTTTCCATTGTTTCCAAAATTGGTTTAACACCTTGATTCAGACTTGATTTGACTCAAATTGTGTCAATTTTGATGTCCATCAGTTTGTCTCGCGAAGCCAGTCAATTTGATTGTTAGTTTGTTGAAATCAGAGTTCATGATATTTTTTAGTTTGAGTTTGAATTTTTACTGCTCAAAAAATGTTTCAATATTCAAGCTAATCACCTTGAGATTTGTGCCAAATGACAAAATTTATTGATGACGTATCTGATTTTTTTAATTTTTCAAAATATGTTTTATTTTATTTCACCCAAATGTAATAAAGTTTTAGTTTATTTAATAAAATGATGATCTATCTTCTATCTTAGTTTGCTTGTGATAATATAAGCTATGATTTTAAATTATACTTTTTTGTTAGTTTATATACTTTATTTTGTGTGAGTGATATTGAATTGACATTAACTATTATTTAATGTGAATCTTCATTAAACATGAGCTTTTACTAAATGTAGATTCCAATCAATAGTGAGTGAATCAAAGATACCACATTCTTTGAGCTTCCTATGTTGCACTGTGCAAAGATTTCATGGATATGATTTGATGTATAATCCCTTAGAAATAACAACTCAAAAAGAGGTGAGGTGATGACAACTTCTTGTAATTTGTTTATCAAATAGGTTGAATCAATTGCATTTTTCTTATGCCTTCTTTGAGTTCTCAAATTTTTGTATTCCACCATGAATAGTCCAAAGAGCCTTATAAAGATTTACTTTATGAGTTTTCTAGAGCATGAGCTTGATTTAGTTGTTAACCTCACAATGATAGCTTTAGAGAGTAAAGAATAATGAGTCCCCATATTTAATAGAGGATGGATTGTGATCTACATTGATAGACTCCATCTTAAGTTAGGACTTCCTATCCTTTCTAAAATTGCCAACATATTCATTTACCATGGTTTTAATCCCATTTAAACGATGCTAAATTCTATTTCAAATATCCATTATATCCTAAGTTTCTATTATAAGTATAGAGCCAAATGTATTGCAAGCTCTTTTGACTTTAAATAAGGCTCATTTACCATCTTTTAAACTCATCATTTTTTTATTTTAAAAAAGAACTTTTAGAAGTTAAAATTTTTCTATGGGTTAATTAATTTTAATTTTTTAATAATATTATATCATAATTTTAAATTGTTTAAACATTTAAATAGCAATAAAAATTTTATAAAATTTCTAAAAATAATTATCAAATAAAATATTTTTTAAAAAAACTCTTACCGCGGTTCCATGGCGTGCATTCCCTTACTGTCAGAATCGGAACCGTAATTTAGGTCATCGTCCTCACCCCTACCAAACTCCCACAAACAAGAGCGGGAATCAGAATTAGGTAAAAAGCACAAATCTCCCACAGGTAAACCATTCCTTTCTCCATCACTCCTTCCTTCCCATTCTCTTCTTCTTCAATGTTTCCCTTCCCCACCACCTCCAACCATAAAACCCTAAACCTATCCCCTCCCAGATCTCCAACCAAGCACCTCAACGAGCAATGGCCGACAAACAATACCAACCTGCAAAACCTAATCCCCAGCCTCCGTTTCCTTCCTCGAAGAACCAGCCCTTCAATCGCCCCATTTACCAATATCGTCCCCAACCGCAGTCATCGAAGAGCCCCTGCTTCCGTGGCTGCTGCATCTCCGCCATTCTCGCGCTCCTCTCCCTCATTGTACTCGCCGCCATCGCCGGCGGTATCTTCTACGCCATCTACCGTCCCCACAGACCAACCTTCTCGATTTCTTCCCTCCGCCTCTCTTCCCTCAACACCACCTCATCCAACCACTTCACCTCCCGGCTCGACCTCTCTGTCACGGCGCGAAACCCTAATCCCCGAATTGATTACAATTACGACCAGATCTCAATCTCCATCTCATCCAACGGCGTCGGAATCGGTGAGGGATCGTTTCCTGGCTTCGTGCATAGTGCGAAGAACACGACGGTGTTGAGCTCATTGGCGTCGACGAGATCGGATCTGAAAAAAGGCACAGTTCCGTTGGAGTTCTACATGGAAACGAAGGTAAGGATGAAGGTCGGTCGGCTTAAGACGAGTAAGTTTCGGATGAAGGTGTACTGTGACGGGATTGAGATTGCTGCTCCGAAGGGGAAGAAGGCCGGCACGGCTTCGAATCTCGATTCGAGCTGCAAGGTTAAGCTCCGGATGAAGTTCTGGAAATGGATGATCTAGATCTATTTTCATTGAATCTTTCATTCACATGAGTGGTAAAAAAAATGATGATTCGTAGGGTGGATTGGTTTTGTTTTTCTCTTTTGATTTTTTTGTGATATATTTTGAATTATGTTTGTTTTCAGTTTGAGATGTTGGATGTATTTTTTTTTTAATTAATGAATGAAGATCTGTATTTTAATGCTGTATTTGGTGAAAACTTGGGTGATACATAAAATCAAGAATGGTTTACCGGTTAGTGATTCAATGATAGTAATAAATATCTAAATTATTTTCATATAATTTAAATAAAAAAATAATGATATATTAATACTATTTTTATCAATTCAATGTATAATATTTAATTTTAAGGCAATACTTTTGAATATTTTAAATAATATTCTAAATAAAAAATTTAAGATATGATATTTTTTTTAATTTAAATATCTTATTTTTTGTCATCCGATCAAAATCAAAAGGCTAAAACTGAATAATATTTGAACTGGACTATTATTTAAAAATTGAATTGATTCATCGGTTTTTCGGATCAACATCGATTCTGACCTGTTCAATCGCGATTCTATGTAGAAATTATTCTGAGCTTGGACCGAACGGATTGAGGGTCTGTTTGGGGCAGCTGTTGATTATTTATAATCTATTGATATGCAAATTATTCTGATAATTTGATAATCTGCAGATTATCAGAATAAGTTGGCTTGTTGTTTGGGGCAGATTATTCAGAATAGTTTTTTGGTAGTTATGGTTGTATTAATGACATTTTTGCCCGTATCTGTTAAAACTGTTTCGTGCAGCTTATTCAAAATAGCTTATTGGTATTACAGAAGGAGAAAGTACATAAGCATAAAATCATCACAGATCAGTTTCAAAAGATGACATATAGTTCTCACACTCTCATGAGCACCAGAAAAAATAAAAATAGAATAAAGACAAGTACAACTACGATAAAAAATATTAAAATATTTAATTTCAAACTATGACTACGTCTGTCTTCAGCTGCACTATCAACCTAAGAAAACACTAGATTTTCATCACTGCTGGCAGTGTAACATGTGGGACTGTCGGCCCATCGGAAGAAAGAGCAACGAGCTGAAACACCCTTGCGTCATCCGTAGAACTGTCTCCCATAACTATGAGGCTGACGTGACGTAAGTAATGGAGTCGGTAGTCCACAGTAACAAAAAACATCTTTATCTGCCACCGAAATCTTAGACGTCATGTTGTTATAACTGCAAAAAAAAACATTATGTCAGATCTTATCCCAAAAAAGCAAAAAAAATACAAATCATAATAAATCTGTAATGTACGAAGAAAAGAAAGACTTGTTGGATTAGCTGTCATAGATAGCATCTGTTATAAACTCTCTCAGAGCAGCCATCTCAGCCACACCCTCCGCGTCATGAATATCAAAATCATTAAAATCACTCAAGTCATTCTCTTCCTCAGGAACTGAAGACCCGATCATAATTTCTGATTAAAAATGGTTCCTCATAGACATTCAACTCATAGTTATCAGTCATGCTAAAGTACGTATCAGAACGTGAAGGATGTCGTCGGATGAAGTATGAAGTGTCATTGTTGTCATCACAATATGCACCTACTTTTGAAATGGATATGACGACATATCACGTAGGATGACGCATTTCTTCTTTCAAACCCCAAACGCTCTTTCAATTACCCCACGTAAAGAAGAGTGACGTTTGTTAAACATTTCTTTCCTACCACGAATAGTGTCACTTGCTCGCTCAAAATCAGGAATATAGTACCTAATGTCAGGATATGGCGTCAAATAGCCCCTCTGCACATGGTATTCAACATCAACCAAATAGTATTTTCATGTTATGGAAGCATTGTTATTTCCAATTAATACCTATACCTAATGATTTTATAAATCAAAACATACCTGAAGGCAAATGAGGAAAACCCTACGATCTATTCCTAGTAGCAAATGATAAAATGTGACTGTCATGTGCATTCCTTTCCCAACTAATTATAACATATGTGAAACACATATTGAAGTCACGTACCGCCATGACATTTTGAGTGGTTGAACGACTTCGACCAATGTAAGTCACCTTGTCCTGGCTAGGTATTCGGGCATCAATGTGAGTACGGTCAATTGCACTTATGCAATTCTATTTTACAGGGTTAGAAAAGATATATTTTTTTATATATACGTAAAGAAAACAATAGTTACCTTGAAGTACGACATGTAACGGGGATCAGTTGCGATTTCTCTTGGAGTATTAACAAATATTGGATCCTCCAGCCTGATAATTTTAGCAGCTAAGTTAACAAGTGTCTGTATGTCTTTGGAGAAATAACGACTTATTGTCTCCAATGAATGCTGAAATCTCTCCACAACACCCCTAATTGATTCGTTATGTGACAGAATATTCAGCGTTATGGCCAATATCTCCCTTCTCGTCATTCTTGAAGAACCTTAGAGTCTGTGATTCAGGGATAACCCGTGCAGGAGATCCATAAATATCGGTACAGTCAATTGAAATATGTTACTAAACCTAATTGGATGTCTAGAAAGCATCTCACTTACCCATTTATCCCCAACAAAGCTGGAGGTCCAAATATGTTACTGAACCTAATTGGATGTCATATATATTGTCATATTATTGTTGGAGAATGACATGGGCTACAATTATGAACACTGCTTTACCGGTAATACTCCAACAATAATATGATAATAGCTGCAGCCCATGTCATTCTCTTACGACGTTCATGTTGTGGATCCATCCTAAAGGAAGAAAGATCCCGGTTAGTTCATCAATTATTAATCAATAAATCAAGCAAAAAAAAAATAATGACAACACCCAGCCAATTAGAATAAAAAAAATTTAGAGCTCTACTAATATGCATTCAGAAATCAAGTAAAAGTACATTTAACAAAAAAAAACATAACTCCAAATAACATGTGAGTACATAACTTCGAAGAGTACATAATATGTGTTTATGTGTTGGATCCTCAACTTTTTTCATACATATTGCAAGAAAGCGCTTATCCATTACAACTCCAGGGATGGTAGAGAAAGTTCTAAGACAATCGAAGATAGTGCTTTCAGGAATCGGAGCAGGTGATGGAGCTCCAAAAGCATCTATGAGTTTGTCAAATAAAGTTTTCACAAAATATCATTTTCTTTCTTTCTTCTTCCTAGCATGAGCCTCTTCATCTGTGAGCATGACTCCCCCATCTCCCTCTGGTTAACAGTGTGTATTTCTTCTTCAACCGCCACCGACCCTGGTGGAAAATCATCTAGTATTCCTACAAACCCCGTCTCACTAGGGCTGAATGCATGTTTTCCCGTTGCCACCACCCCCTTGAACATTATGTCAAGTTTATCTTCAAGATCCAACTCAATTCCGCTCTGCTTGTATTTTTTCGCTGTCGGTATTGTCTATAACATTACAATAAGGAGTGAGTTTAGGGGGATAATTGTTTAAATTGAAAATATTTGTAATTAGCAAAAAAAATAATGACAATTTTATCTTTAGTTTCTTGGCCTACCATTCATCTGAAGCATCAATTGTCTGTTTGATGGGATCTCAGCCCAACCCCGTGGATCCATGTTTTAGCTCCTTCCAAATTTTTCACTCCTTCAATTGATCTCATTTATTTTTAAACTTCAATCTGTCATAATCCCTTCAAGTCAGTTCTTTAAACCTTTGAGCTATTTTCTGTCAACCTTCCTTGATGAAATAGGTGGTTGGTCTATTCCCGATCTCAATCGCGGTGATGCAGAGGTTGTAGAAAATATTTGTAACTTCCTTATCCCACATCATTGAGGGACCACCTTCATTTTTCTAAGCCATGGTAGAATTATATGAAGAATTGCATATTGCATAAAGAAATTGATATTATAACTCAACATGAATAAGAAAATTGTATTAAAAAATAAATGCACAAGCACAAAGCTACCAATTTGCTAAAAGAAAAGAAAAAAAAAACATATAAGGACACAAAGGAATTATGTGGTTCGGTCAAAGACCTATATCCACAGTAAGTCATCGAACATGTTTTATCATGCAATTGTGTAAGGTTACATAGCTATGAATCTCAAGGGAGAACACTACAACATGCAATTTTTCCACTCTTTTCTCACATTGGTACTAATAAAAGTAGTAGAACTACAAATTAAATTAGCCATTAGAGGCTTCATCCTCTTGCTACACCAAAATGAAATGTTCCAATGTCTTGTCTTTCATATAATAGCTAATGCATTTCTCTGATCCGCATATTAACAGCTAGTAAAGTGGGAAGCCATATCTATGTCATATGAAAACCTTTCATATAATGCATAAGCAACAGAAACAAGATGAATTTATAAACAACCATTAGGTATCTGCATTTTGACAGCTGTAAAAGTGGGAAGCCTTTCATATAAACCCAGAATTGATATATGTTATTATCACCCCATGTATAGAAAGAACACAAATAGATCTAATGTATCGAATGCCAGAACCATTTTGTAGCAACCAAATTCTCATGTACCGAAATATCTAATGCCTAAACTTTCATCTTTGCATACAAAGCACACGAATTTATAATATGAAGTAAAGAACTGTAATTGCACCATGGTAATTGCACCACGTAATTGCACCAATGGTAAATAACTCATCTTTCCATGTATAGGATTATTCTAACCCAATGGTAATTGCACCAATTCTGTAGCATATATAATGGCAAAACTTTCATATTAGCATAAAAACATATAAGCCATACTTTCGATATATCTAATGACAACATACAAAGCACTCAAATTTTAAAAGTGATATATGTTATTCCATGTATAGGATTATTCCTAAACAATGGTAATTGCACCAATTATGTAGAAACCGCAACGAGAAATATACTCGAATGCTTGCCATAATCATTTTGCAAAAACCGCATGTGAATTTCAGATATAGCAAACTCAGAGAAGGGTCGAAACACAACTGAACAAAAATCGCATCCACATTTCAGATATAGCAAAATCAAAGAAGGGTCAAAAGCAAAACTGAACAAAAACTGCATCCAAATTTCAGGGCTATGAAAATCTAACAAAATCAGAGAAGGGTCGAAAGCACAAGTGAAACAAAAACTACATCCAAATTTCAGATCGAGCAAAATCAGAGAAAAGTTAAAAGCATCCAAACAAAAAATGGTTCCAAATTTTAGATCTAGCAAAATCACCCATCCAAAATTCCATAAAAGCTGTTATAACCTCTGAAACCAACAATGATGCATCCAAATGAAGATGAAGGAGACACAAGTGAAGGGTCGAACCAGATCTGACAAATCAGAGAAGGTCGAAAGCAATGGTGCATACCAAGCGAGAAACTGGTTTTTTGTTTGTCGACTGAGGGCGAGGGAGAGCAGAGAGTGGAATTTTTGTCTCAACGGTCGCGAGGAAGAGGGTGAAGGTGAGGGCGACGGGGACCGAAGAGGGGCACGGGAGGTCTTTTTCACCCTAACATGCGAACTAAACGCAAGACGCGAAGGGAGGGGGCTTCTCCGATTTCGCAATTTTCCTCTAATATCGCATATCAGCGGTACGATAATGCTCGTGCAAACATGTTTTCCAAAAGCCATTGCGGCTTTTTCAAACCGCCACCGCGCCCAATAAGCAGCCCCAAACGAGCCCTGAATGACTAGTTCAACGTTGAATCGGTCAAACTGGTTGGTTCGACTTTATTAGTTTTAAAATTATGCATAAATATGTCAGCACGAATCTCAAGAAAATTCAGCTGGAATAAGTCAAGGATCGCCTAGAGAAGAAAGAACAAATGACACTTCACTAGAAGACTAAAGATTTGATTGATCAAGTGCAACTACTTTAAGTCAGACCAGAAGACTAAAGATTTTTCATTTTGAGATTCTCTTTTTTTTTTTCTATTTTAATTTCATTACTATTTCTTGAAATTATTTAGGCCTCCCATCAACTACCCCAATGTATTTCATGGTATACAAATATGAATTTGCTAATATTCACTCTTTAAGAAAATTATGATATTAAAAATTAAATGTAATTTAAGTTTTAACCATTAAAATTCTTGTGAATAGTAAAAAACTAAAATAATAGTGAATACAAAATAATTATTAAAAATATAGCTGAAGAACATTATTAATAAGCATAAAATAATAGGCGACATTACATACTTGTTAGCGCTGGAGCCCGATTTTTCTTGATCCCGCTTCCGATCTCCCGTTCCCGCGCCCGATCACGAAATGTCGCGACCGCGACCCTACGGTTTTGCGAAAACTGCAGCTCCCTCCATTTCGCGAAACGTCGCCAACCCCGCCTTCTCTTTTGCGATAAAAGGTATCACACGACTCTCCTTTCAATTTAAGAGAAGTCACGGTGTTCTTATTTTTTTTCCTCAGAATAGAGGAAGGTTTCCTCAGGATAGAAGAAGGAAAGTGCGAGAAGTAGTTCCTTGCGGCAGAAGAAAGAAGAAAGAAGAAGAAGAAGATTGTTCTCCCTCGGCTTCTTCATGGTGGCCTGTGGCAAAAGAGAAATTGAGTTTATTTCTCTTGTAAGTTTATCTTCTTCGGTATATCTCGGTGTAGAGTTTCTTCGATGTATCTCGGTACAGAGAGAGAATAAAAGAGAGAGAAGAAGAGAGAGCAACGAAGTGAGAGTGAGAGATTCATCTTGTAAGTCGAGGTGATCGACTAGTGTAAATTTTTTAAGTAGTAAAATCCTCTGCAACTTCATGAACGTAGGCAATTTGCTGAACCACGTAAATCTGTGTGTTTCGCTGTGGTGTTACTATTTTATGGTGTGATTTTTTCTCGTTCTATTTTTGTTTTGTCGATCATTCTCCTGTTTGATTTATAGATATACCACATCAACTGGTATATCTAGATCTCACAACAACAACAATACCTACCGCAAAATTTTTATGTATTTATATATCTAACACTTATACATTCTTGTTTATATGCATCCTAAAATTTTTAACATCACATCAAAAATATTACCGTCGCTAGCTTTTTAAAATTGAAATACACACATCCATGCATAATTTTATGACTCCGAGGTGTTATAAATATAAATATCAAACTTTGAGTGGTACACATCTAAATAGGTATGCCTCGTGTGGCATGTATGTAAATTTCCCAAAATAACATAATAAAAAGAAAGAAATGATATGTAGGATGCACTAACTTTTTTGGCTTATTTATGGTGACAGTATTTCAATTGCTTGTCCAATCAACAAACATCAAAATCATAAGTGTGCTTTCAAATACTAGAACAAATAAAATTAGAAATATTATTTTTGGAGTAGTTTTAAAATAATGTAGAGTTACATATCGATGACTAGATAACATCAATTTATATGTCAGAATGTATAGAAATACTTGGCTTTCAATGACTTATAATATGCCTAATGCATATTTTATAGAGGAAATTAAGCCAAAAAGTTCATTTTAGACAAAACAGTCCTATAGAAGAGATTAAGCCAGATAACTTCTGCATTCTTGAAATATGTTTTTTGAAGTCAATACCATTTGAAGCTTTTTCAAATTGGTTCAAACATAAGTCGACATGGTTCAAACCTTGGATCGCATGATGAGAATTTGTCATACATCCCTTGTTGTAGGAAGACATCAATTGGGTTGATGGTGTGTGGAGGAGAAGAGCTCATAAGAGTTTTTCATTCATCTCTCGTTATAAGAAGGTATCAATTGGACTGACGTTTTGTGAAGGAGAACAGTTCATAAGGAAAGTTGGTGCAAGAAGGGATTGACGGGACCATTGACATGTAAAGAAGAAGACTTCACAAGGGTAGGATTTTTTGTGAATGGTATCAATGAGATTACTGGCATGCAAAATCAAGATGGAGACTATGACGAAGCTTGCTGAAAGAAGGCATCAATGGGGTTACGCATAAACTCACATTGGAGCTCACTACAAGATACATCAACAAAAAGATTTCAACAACCACGATAGAGGATGTTAAAGGAAGTCATAAACTAGACTGATGACGTGAGAATAAGAAGAACAAAGTTGGTTGTGCGCAAGCATTAATGTGATCTATGTTGTGGTCGAGACCAACATTTGTGGGATCATCTGCTTGTGAGAATAATGAGGTTTGGACTAAGTTATAAACAATTCAAAGTTTGACTACTCAAACCAATTTTGAAAAAATTATAAGTTCAATGAACAACTTTTAAAAATAAAGTTTATCCCCCATTAACATAATTTCATTCAAAATGAATTTTCAACTACATAGGGGTGAGTGTGCTCATTGTGCATTGTACAAAGATCTAGCTTCTATAGGTAGATAGGAAAGACACTAGAGTTCTTATATGAAAATTTCAAAGGGAAAAAAATGACTAATCATGAACAAATTAAAATGATTCCACCAATATATTCCATAAGATACAAATGATACTATTTCTCGTAATCATTGAATATGTTGGTGCATTATAGTAGAAGATATATTCATGATGGAAGCTGTTGAAGTATTGGGGCAATATGTTATATTTAAGATATCATTTGTGATATTTTCAGTTTTTCTCCATTGAATATGTTGGGCATGTAAACCATTTTAAACTTGTCTGAAGGCCAAGCAGAAGGTAAAGTGCATGTTTTAAAAATCTTGAAGTATTTAATCCTAAAATTTTGATTAGTTTTAATCTTTCATTAGGATTTTGTAGAAAATTTATAATATTATGGTCCTTAAAGAGCCTAAATTACAATGTAGTATTCCAAGGCAAACCATAAGATAAAAAACGACGAAGCCAAGTCAATCACACTGCTAAAAATAAAACAAGCCAAAAAAATAAATAATAAAAAGGTCGGTGTCTCTAGGTCAGCAACATATCCCAAAAAAATAAAAAGAGTAACTAGGCTCCGCATATACATGTGTGATCATAGATGATATACATCAAAGAAAATGTGGAATTAAGATAAGGGGCACGAGTATCGACAACTTTCGATAGATTTAGTGTTTGTCAACCGACTAAAGGTTATCAACCGACTGAATGACAAGATTACAAATGCTCGTCTTCAAGCAGTTATAAATAGAAAATGTTGCTAATATCATTTATGAATATAAAAAAGTGTCGGAATATGTTACAAGTATGAAAAGGTGTCATGCTAACTTATAATGTTTCTATTAAAAAGGGGATTGACATGTAATTTTACACTAGATACCCCTGAAATCTATAAATATTGGGCAATTTCTTCAATCAAAAACTGCTGAATTCACACTATCAAAATTCTTGTATTAGCGTGCACTTTTTTCGTCCCCCTCTCTTTCTCTCTCTCTTTCTCTTTCTCTCTCTCTTTATTTCACTCGTCCGTCCTATCTTTGGTGTGATCCATATAACATATTTGTATTCAACAACAATATAAAAATTTAATATATATAAATTTTATACTTATATTATTTATTAATTATTTAATTAATTTGAGTCAAATCAAACCAAACAGAAATAAAAAAATATATATTTCTTCATATTCGGTTTACCCATACAACAACCTAAAATAAAAATCTGTGTGTGCAACATGTTTGTCGAGCACGAACTACAAGCTTTTATGATAGCCCTCCCTCTCCCTGCCCTCATCAAAAAATTTTAAATTCAAATAAATTTATAATCAATGCCAACAGTACTCGTAGCATATTAATCCAAATATACTGTCAAGAATTGTAGCACATAACCTTAAAAAATAAATGTGAAAGCCAACACCTACCCACTCATTGGATCGGCTCCACTATTATTCCCTTTGTTACAAATGCACATAAATATATAATTTATCTCAAGTTTAAAACTAATCAAATTTAGTCACAGTAATAAAAAACTCACCTTGTCACAGTAATGAAATCTCCCATTTTCAGTTCTAGCCCCCCCTTTCCATCTCTTATGTATAG